CATAATCTGGATGGGTAAGATCTGCCCTGGCACAGGTTGCCCAGAGAAGCTGTGGCTTCCCCATTCCTGGAAGTGCCCAAGGCCAGGTTGGATGGGGCTTGGAGCAACCTGGGCTGGTGGAAGGTGTCCCTGCCCACGGCAGGGGGTGGCACTGGATGATCCTTAGGGATCACAAACCATTCTGTGATTCTGTGATTCTGTGATCACAGCACAGTGATCATGAGTTCACTGCCACAAGCACAGGCTGTGTGCAAGCAGGTTGTTTTCCCACAGAACTAACACTGTTCTGATGGTGCTGGAGCTGGGCTGTCCTGCAGTGGCACTGGGGACACTGGGCACCACAGAGGAAGTTCTTCTCTGTCTTCAGCACTGGGCAGCCTTCACTGTGTCCTGGGATTCCCTAGTTAGCCACTGCTGTGGATTTTCTAGCTGTGCTGTTATTCAGGTCCTGCTCCTTGAAGAACTGTCTGAGCTGGTTGTTGAGCAACCTGGGACATGAAGCAAAGATGCCAGACTTAGTTCACATGAGTCCTTCCACAGCCAAGGCACGGCTGCTGGGCCTCACTCGTGGTCCATCTACAAAGGAATTGAGTTCAAGGGAAGCAGAACCAGTACAACCACTCTTGGTCCCCAGGGGTTCACTCGGGGTGGAGAGGTGACCTGGAGAAGGTGCTGAGCTGGGACTGAGTCCCTGCTCTCCCTCCCTGAGCTGCTGCATGGCTGGAAGCACCTCAGTGTCAGAGGCTGTAAGTGCCTCCACTTCCCTCTCCTCAATTCTGGCCATTTAAATCAAACCTTGCTCACACTGCACTTGACCTGCTGTGTCCTGGGCTGGCAGAGCTGGGTGGTGCTGTGGGATTGGGATGGGTTTAGCTTGGAGGGCCGTGCAGGGATGGAATTGCTGTGCCAGCCAGGCTTTGCCATCAGAGTTCCCAGAGCTGAGGAGCTCTCAGGGAAGGCTCTCTCCTTTCCCACAGTGGTGGAGCAGCTGAGGGTCTCTGACCCCAGGGGTTTGGGCCACTGACTGTATTGCAGATATTACAGACAACACCGTGATCATGACACCTACATAAGAGGAGCTGTGTCTTCAAGAGGCCTCTTTTCCCTTTGTTCACTCTTTTATCTTTCTGTCCTTGCTAAATTTATCTGAGCATCTTTCTCCCTGCCCTCCCCTCCCTGGCTTTTGCACGATGCCATTCTGCATCCTCTGGCAGACTTGAGCATAATCTTTTAACAATTTTCTCTACCTGCATCTCAGCAGGATTTTCCTCCAGCACAGCTGGTGCAAAATGAGTGCATGGGAGTGAGGAGAGCAGGAATCACTGGCCAGGAACGCCTCAGTAAGCTGCTTTTCTTGGCCTGAAGCTCTGGATCTTCCTGAGGGCTGGAAGGAGATGTGCAGTCTGTGTTGTTTGTTTGTTTTTTTAAGGGAAATGTGCTCTTGGGAGCTGCTCTGCTTGGCAATAACCTGGGTCCAGGGCTTTCAAGATGGGATTGAAGTGGCTGCTCTGTTCTTCAGTTTTGCAGATTCTGAGAGCAAATAATACTCTGTTTATGGTTCTCTGAGCTCACCTGGACACAAGGAAACCATCACCTTCCCTCTGAGCTGCTCCAGGGGTAGGGCAGGACCCAGGCAAGTCAGGGCATGGTGGGGTTTCTCTCTTAAAGGAAAAAATTTGCTTTTCTGCTCCTGTTTCTGACCTGCTCAGAGGGGCATGACAACTGAAGGGATATTGGGGTTGTGTCCCTAAATTTTAACCACTGTCCCTCACATGGGACACCTGTGCTCCTGCCCCTGGAACACAGCAAGCTGGAAGTCCTCTTTGGGATTTAACAGAGACAGCCCCAGAGATGGATCTGGACTGTCCCAGGAGTCTGTGGGATCTGCTGTGCCAGGGCAGATAAACAGTCCTGTGAGTGATCTGAGAGTCCCAACCATCTGACACGATCAGACCTGCAATCTTTCTCTGCCCTGTCTCTGCTTTGCCAGATGGAAGTGCTGCTCCATTAAGCCCAGTCACCTGTCCCAGGCTTGGGATGGAGGTGAAAGTCCAGGGAAATGCTTGGTTGCCTGGCAAAGCTGCTCAGGGCAGAGGAAGGCTCCTCTCAGCCAGTGCTGGAGAGCAGAGTGATTTGCTCACCTCTGCCTTTGGGGCTTACGAGGAGGAGTTACTCATGACTGAATCCATTTTTAGAATTTGCCAGGGGATGCTCTTTGCCCTCCTGTAATGGGAGATTACGGATGTCTGACCTGTTTCAGCCCTCTAAATTTGTTGCTTTCTCTTAACTCCCCTGCTTTTCTCATAATCTTAAAAAGCCCGACTAAATCCTGACGCTTCGCCTCTCAAAGCTGAATAATCCTTGCAATTGCAATCTCTTTTTCTTCTTTAAGGCTTCCAATGCTTAAGATCTGTGTGATCTTCCTTGTGGTGTGGGGAAAAAGAAACAAACCAACAAAAAAACCCCACAAAACAACAACAACAACAAAAAAACAACACCCAGAAAAGAAGCCCTTAGCACGCAGATTGAGAGAAGGGCAAACTGTGGTTTCATAGAACATCCCCACGACAGGCTGGGATCATTTTCTCCTCGTCACAAACACCCCCACCACCCTGGCTCTGACTTCACTGCAGTGCTGTGGTGGGGAGCTTGTTCCTGGGAGAAACGAGATGGTTTGGTGGCTGTAGGAGGAGAGAAAGGGATGTGGAGGTCAGAATTTTCCCTGATTTTCAATAAGACATGATGCAAAATACAATCCCTTTTTTTTTTTCCCCCCCTCACTTTTCAGAGCTGTTGTGTCATTCATCCACCCCACTGATCTTGTATATCTTGATCTTGATCTGGGTGGAAAATAACGTATTTCTTTTTTTTTTTTTTTTTTTTTCCAGATGCTGATTTCCATCAGAAGAGGGTGGGGGATTATTGAAAATGGCATTTCCTCTTCTAGTGTTTACCGAGAAAAGGAGTCAGATTTTTCCAGTGAAAAAGGCCACAGAATATATTAGATACAGTGGCCAGAAGCAGAGAAGTGAAAATTGCAGACGACTGAATAAATCAGATATGAGGGTAACTTGATTTTCAGGTGAAAGATAAACTCATCATAGAAAGAAATAAGGCGAGGACGAAAATGAAAATGTTTTTAGGGAAAACTTTGAAGGAAGGAGATCGTTCTCCTGCCCTGCTCATCCTGTGAGCTCCCTGCACTTCCACAAAACAAGGAAACTTTCCCTGAAGACCCCTTTGTGTGGATCAGCTCAGCAGAGCCCGGGGGTGAAGAGCTACAGGAGGAAACACTCATTTTAACGTGTGCCCAGGGTGTGTTTGAGTGTAACAGGGATGCTGAAACACTTCAGCGTCTGTCTCTGGGCAAAGTTTTCCCCCAAGCCTCCAGCACGCAGCTTAAGCTGCGAATTAACAAAAAGGGGGTGGAGAAAAAGTCTTCTTTTATTGCATCCCCAGCAAGCACACGGGCAGGCAAATCACAGATTGGAGCCGCTTCTTGCTGCCCTGGTCCCCAGGGCTGGCACAAACCGGGTGCCCCTGTCCCTGTCGGCGGGCTGGTGGCTCCTGCTGTGTCTGACCCTCGAGGCAGGGGATGTTTCGAGGCTGCACCTTCTTCCCTCTCCCTTTTTTGTGCCGTGTCTCGGTGAGTTAGAGCCGCTCCTGGCTCCCCTCGGCAGCCGCTGCTGCCTCCGAGTGTGTCTGTGGCTGTGCTGCAGCGTGAGAGAGCCCTTCAGACACCAAACCTTCCCCCTCTCCCCGGGTAAGGAGCCGGTTTCTTCCAGAGTCACCCTTTGCCTCTTGCCAGACCTTACTTGTGTCACTTGTGGATGCTGCCAGCCCTGTCCCTTGTCTCCCGAAGCCAGCAGATGTTACTGCTACAGGCTCGCCTGGTCGGTGGGTTGGTTTTGAACTGAGACAGCTTGGATGACTAAGGCAAAAAACGCATTAGCAGCAGAGTCCAGGGTTTCCTTGCCGTGGGGGAAGCGAAAATGTCCCCCTGTTGACAGCCCTGCCTTCTCCGGAGGGTCCCTTCTAAAAAGTTAATAGTTTGTACCCCAAATTTAGCCGAAATGCAAAAGCATTTCCTCCCCAGCCACTGCAGTGACTGTTGCCGTGCGGCGCTCCAGGAACGAGGAGGAGTTCTCGCTCTGACTCGTGGTGGAGGGAAGCAACAGAGGGTGTTGGAATAAACAGGATTAAAGGATTTCGTCCATAAATACAGGATTAAAGGTATCCAGTGCTCTGCAGGAGTCATTCAAACCAAGGAGAAACAAAGTAAGTTGTCCAGAAGGGCGCAGCTCTGTTTCAATCCAGCACATCCCCGCAACCGCTTTGTCCCCGGGCGCTGCTGCGGGGGCTGCACCCCCCGCCCCCCGCATCCCCCCCTGCCCTGGGGGCTGCGAACTGTGCCCCCCGCTTGCCCTGCACCCCCAGTCACTGTCCCCACTCCCCCCCGCCAACTGAGCCTTTCTGGGGGCTTCTGATCGCACACAGACGGGGGTGCTGGGGGGCTGCGCCGTGGGGGCACCCCTGGGAGCGGCTCATCTGGGCAGGGCACATCTGGGCAGGGCACATCTGGGCAGGGCACATCTGGGCAGGGCGCGCAGGCGCGGGGGCCACCTCGCCTGTGCCCCCCGTCCTTTTGCAGCACCCCCTTCCCAGCCGGCAGAACCCCTTTTCCAGCCTGCAGAACCCCCGGCCGGGGCTCTGCGCGCCCGCGGAGCGCTGCGCAGGGCCAGGGGAGGGGTCCATCCCTCCTTCCCCCGGGGAGGGGCCGCGGCTCCGCCGTATTTACCGGGGTGGGCGGTGGCTGCCGAGCCGGGCCGGGCTCCATCCTCCCTCCTCCCGCCCCCCGGTGCCGGTGACTGGGGCGGGCGGAGCCGCGGCGGCCCCATTGGCTCCGGGCATCACATGCGGCGGGGCCGGGCCGTGCCGGAGCCGTGCCGGGCTGGGTTGGGCTGGGCACGGCGAGCGCTCCCGCGGCGGGCACGGCAGCAGCGCAGAGCCCCTTCCCAGCCCAGCCGAGGCACCGCGACCCCCGCTGCCGCCCCCGCCGCCGCCCCGGCCATGAGGTCGGGCCGGAGAGACGGCACCTGTGCGGGGAGGTGAGCGGAGCCCCGGCGCCTTCCTCCTACCCCCGGGCAGCCACCGCGGCGGGGGAAGCGCAGGGGGTGGAGGAAGGGAAAAGGATTTTTATTTTTATTTTATTTTTTTAAATTTTTTTTTTGATAATACATCAATACATTTTTGCTGCGATCAATCCCGATCCCGCGACTGAAGCCCCCGGAGGGAGAAGTGCTGCGCGCTGTGATGCGTCTTCCTCTCGCCTCGGCTGCCAGTTTGGATTGTAGCGCCCGGCTCCGTGCACCGCGAGGATGGCTCGGTTTGGGGATGATCTGCCGACCCGCTATGGAGGTGGAGGGCCGGCCGGGGCTGGAAGAGGGAGCAGCCGGCAAGGTGGCCCCCAAGCCGGCCAAAGGATGTATAAGCAGTCGATGGCTCAGAGGGCCAGGACTATGGCTCTCTACAACCCCATCCCTGTCAAACAGAACTGCTTCACAGTCAACAGATCCCTCTTCATCTTCAGTGAAGATAATGTTATACGGAAATACGCCAAGCGAATAACAGAATGGCCATATCCTTTCAGGGAGGGTGCGTGGGCGCGGGGAGGGGGGGAAGGTGGGGAGGGGAGAGGGAGGTTGAGGGGAAGAGACCCCTCTGGGCAGCGCAGGGTGAGTGTCTGGGGCTGATGCAGACGTGCATGTGTGAGCCAGGGAGTGCGGTGGGTATGTGTGCCACGGATCCCTGTGCCCGACATAACGCACGGCCGTGTCCACGGGGATCACAGGGAATAGCTCCTGTGGGCACAGCAGAGGGTGTTTTGGGGGTGCCCTATGCCAGGGCTGTGTGTCAGATGTACGTACATGCCAAGCGTGGCTTTAGGTGTGAGCTGGACGTGTAGATTTACATTCCCCACGATTTAAGTGAGCTGCAAAGGGCTCTGTGAGGTTCGTGCCAGCGAATCCTGATTCTTATTTCCATCTTGGAGCCTTCCAACTCTTCTGTCTCACTCTGAAGAGCAGAAGGAGTGTGGGATAAAAATGGTGACACCTTAGCATTAAAGCTGCATTGATAGTAGGGACATTGATAGCCCAGGTACCTGGCGAATCCCAGGAATACAATCATTGCAGCTCAGGTTTAACACATCCCCTCCTGAATCCATTAGAATCAACATGAATCATGGCACTCTGATTAGGTGCGTAGTCTAAGCTTAGGCTGTACTAAAAAAAAAAAAAAATATTAGCAAAACCTTGAGGCAGAGGGAGGCAGTAAGTGGGGAGAGGGATCGTCTGCTGTGTCGTGGAAGGGGCAGATGCTTTCTGCCCGAGCCCCAGCTCCCAGGCCGAGTGATGCTGAAGGTTATAAAAGCCCCTCAGAAAGGGGGCTTTGCTGCCAGTGCTGGTTGTAAGCCATGAGCAAAGGGGAGCAGAGTGGTTGAGGCCACCAGGGAGTAGCTGGTGTGTGTGTGTACAGGAGTGCATCGCACTGGGGGGTCTCCAGGGAGCCGGCTGTTTTCTTTTCATTTGATATCACACCCCTGTTAATTCCCAGCTAACAGCAGCCAGGCCTCCTCCCAGCCTCCTAGCAACACTTTCAGTTGCCACAGAGGCCAGCTCCTGTTTAGGCTTCCCCAGTTTTCACTTCCTGAGGGGCTCACAGGAAAAATACACCCATGGAGTGAACGCACTTCCCTTCTCTCTGAACACACACACACACGTATTGATCTTTCTGTCCACGTTATACAATCCCAGGGATTGCTGTGCTTCCTCGCCCATTTCTCCTTCCCCGCATTCCAGCGTGGATAAACAAGCCCCAAAGCCCCGGTGGCAGGCAGAGCATCGCCCTGCCCGCGAGGCCGGGCGCAGTCTGTCCCTGCCCTGCCTCTTGGGCCACTCGGCTGCGTCTTTCCCGGGGATGTGGGGAGGGGATCCACGGCGCTGCGGAGCCCGTGGGATCGGCGGAGCCACCGGGACCGGCAGAGCCACTGGGATCGGCAGAGCCATCGGCTCTTCCCCGCGGGGCCGGCGGGGCCACCGGGCGGGCGGGGCCGGGCGCTGTCCGCGGTGCTGAGCCGAGCTTAGCGAGGTGCTGAGCCGAGCTTTGCGGGGTGCTGAGCCGAGCTTAGCGGGGTGCTGAGCCGAGCTTTGCGGGGTGCTGAGCCGAGCTTTGCGGGGTGCTGAGCCGAGCTTTGCGGGGTGCTGAGCAGAGCTCTCCGAGGTGTTGAGCCGAGCTCTCCGTGATGCTGAGCAGAGCTCTACGGGGTGCTGAGCTGAGCTGACCGCGGTGCTGAGCCGAGCTCTCTAAGGTGCTAAGCCGAGCTCTCTAAGGTGTTGAGCCGAGCTCTGCGTGGTGCTGAGCCATGCTCTCTGTGATGCTGAGCTCCCCGAGGTGTTGAGCAGAGCTCTCTGTGGTTTAGAACCGAGTTCCCCGCGGTGCTGAGCAGAGCTCCCTGCGATGTTGGACAGAGTTCTCCACAGTGCCGAGCTGAGCTGACCGCGGTGCTGAGCCGAGCTCTCCACGGTGCCACTTGGTGCTGTCCTTTGTACCAAGTCGAGCTCTCCGTGGTGCCGAACCGATACTCCCCGGTGCTGGGCTGAGCTCCCCGCCGTGCTGAGCTGAGCTCTCCACGGTGCTGAGCTGAGCTCTCCGTGATGCCAAACAAATACTCCCCGGTGCTGAGCAGAGCTCCCCGCTGTGTTGGACTGATCTCTCCCTGGAACTGAGTCTCTCCCTGGTGCTGAGTCCCTCTCCCCGTGGTGCTGAGCAGGACCATCTCCCACCCTCAGGCCCTGCTGCTGCCCCCGGCGCGGCTCCACCCTGGGAGAGCCAGGGGTCGGCACAGCTCAGGGCTGGAGACGACAGCAAAAGGGGGACCCAGTGCCGGGTTGGGATCCTTCCCCTGGGATTGCTTCCCTCCTACATCCCGACAGGGCGCTGGTGATTTTATTCTCTCTGGGAGAATTGCAATCCGGCAGTAATTTATGTTTTGGACCTGTGTAGACACTCTAAATCGAACTTTTTTGCACTGTGTGTTGAACGGAGATGTTTCTGAAGGACAATTCAGCAGATGGTGTTCAGTTGTATAATCTATTCTGAGGCAGGTTAGTTTATCAATCTCATTTTAAACCAATCATTATTAAAGGGTTTTTGTTTCCTTTGGACCTTTTTCTTCCTTGCTCCCAAATTCCTTGAGCAACTCTGACTCCGTGTAAAACTCTAACTCTCTCAAAGAAGAGAGCCAATTGCCTACTGTTCTTCCAAACACAACCCAGAAAGAACTGAGGAAGTCAGGGAGACTAAATGTCTTCCAAAATATGACAAATCTTAAAATGCTCAATTAATGTGACTGTGGGGGTAGAAACGGGATTTGGATGAGGTTCTCCTTGTGTTGTCCAGTGTCTTCTTTAACTCCTTGCTCCTCACTCCATTTGAATACATGATTTTAGCTACAATCATAGCCAATTGTATCGTGCTGGCTCTGGAACAACATTTGCCGGATGGAGACAAGACGCCGATGTCGGAGAGATTGGTGAGTTGCATTTATTTATGTGCCGTTTTTGTTCTGCTCTGGTACAGAAAACACTCAGCCCCCCCCCTCAGTGCTGGGAGTGCTGGGATCTATTTTAAAGATCCACATGTAAACAAACAGGCACTGATCTGCCAATCACAAAAAAAAAAAAAAAAAAGAATCAGTCAGTGCCAACAAGAATAACTCTCCCCTCCTGATCCCATCTGCTCAAATGCTTCATCACTCCAGCCAGCCCTGCCCAGTTGCAGGAGAGGAGATGGAGCTCCTGTTCTGATCAGAAGAGCTTCAAACTTAGGTTGTCTCTAAACCAAGACAAGAAAGGGCTGATGAATGCTCAGAATTATCTCTTAAATCATCAACCAGTCTTGAATATTTCTGTGATATTTTCCCAGGGAGTGCTAGAACAGAGTAACCTTTAAGGTTCATGTGCCTCTTCCTGCCACTGTGCAGGTGAAGGATCCTACAAAGCGAACCTTGGGTTTAGATGATTGCATTTCCCTTCCAAAGAAAATGAAACCAGCTTACAGAGGGAAACAGTTTCCCTGCAGGCTTTATGGTAATGAGCCCAATTACCTTATTTCAAAAGAAAATAGAAGAATAGCTTCAAAACAATTCTTCCATTTATCATCACTGTGGGAAAAATGTGTAACACTTGGGTTGATTTTTCTCCTCCTGGTAATGATCTGGAAAGTCTTGCATGCCCAAATGCATTAATCCTGGTGCATGTTCAAAGGATGAATAAATAGGGATCCATATGTGTTTGCCATGTAGATATAATGTTATGCAAACAAAAATAATATTAGGCTCGCTGCCAAAAACTAGAGGCCCTGCACACTGGTTGCTGCAGTTTCCAAGGGTGGGCAACTCTCACAGTCTCATCCTTCAGAAGCAGGAAAAAGTGTGTTAGTGATGGATCCAGAAGGAGCATCAGGGTCAGCTACTTGGCCCTAAATCAGAAATGGAGCTGCTCCTGCTGCCTGTCCACCCTCCCTGGGGTTTGCTTACTGTCCCTGAATTATTTCTAATTGAGGAGAGATGAGGATAAGATGAATACATGCCTTTATGTCCATCTTTCTGCCATTTAAACATGCTCTGTGTGCTTCAGGAGTGGTCAGCAAGGCCAGCCTGGGGCTGTGAGTAGAGCACAGGTTCAGACCCAGGGTAGTGACCGAGCTGGAAAATGTTTTCCATGGTTGGGAACATATGGAACAGTGAAGGGGAAAAGCAATTTTGTGGGTGTTTTGGCCTGGTTACCCTTTGGAATGTTTTAAGCAGCATTAGTTATGGTTAACAAGTTGGTTTTATGTTTCTCTATATCCCCAGATTTATAAGGGGATCCCACAGGCATTTTATTGTCCTTTCTCCCCCTGTATAGATTCCATTTTACAGCACAAACACCTTCAGTTCCTGCCCAAATCATTCCAAAGGGGGCACTGCCATCACCACCAAATATTGTAAGATAACTGTGTGTATTAAATGCACGATCTCTGCCTTGTTGGCTCTTCCTTGGTGAGGGAGGAAGAATTAACTCCTGATTTTTGTCCCTGTTGTGCACCATTGCCTTTGATCCAGGTATTCTTAGGCCATTTTAGCCACAGCACATTCATAATTCTGAAATGTAAAGGGGTTTATCATGGAATAACAATGAGAGTCTTTACAAGTCATGAAATATTTTTTATTTTCAGCACATGCTGGAAAGATTAAGCATTGGGAGTAAGAAAAACTGTCTGCTGGTTTCAAAGTGAAACTGCTTTAGAATGTTCCTGCTGCTTCCACAAACTGGAAGTTGTTTCATTGAAAATGTTACAAATCCATGTGAAACCAGAGTGGGTGAACATTCCCATACATTCACAGGTTTGTTGAGCCAAATTCTAAGCCTCTGCAGAACAGCAGGTGCTTTTTTGCTGTCTTTGGCAGGAATGGAACTGACCTTTTTTTGGTTAATGATTGGTGGATATATATTTCCATCTCCTGGGTTCATTAAAATATTCAAATTGGAGTGAGGGCTCATCACTGAAGAGTTAATCAGATGTTAAGGATGTGAGATGCACATCACGAGCCTTTGATGACTGGAGATGTAGGCAGAGTTGTTGAAGTAAAACCAGAGCTGCCTGGGCACTTTATTCCACAGATAAAAAGACAAAAATCTTAAGACTGTCTGTTTGTTAAAGCTGAGGAGAAGAGGGAGGAGACCAGACAAACATTTTAATGATTTTTTTGTTTTTGATCAGCTTTTTCTTGTATTTATCTCCCCTGAGACCCAAGAGATGAACCTGCAGTGCAATCTCACTGGGCTGTTTTCTGTGCTCCTGTTACTTGACAAACAGGGCTAATGAAGCACAAGTGATGCCCCAGTACCTCCAATATTTCAGGATTTGGAATGCCTGAGTTAGGAGGAATCTTTCTCTGTATGTGAAAAAGTGTTACTTGGCTCTGGGATGGAAATTTTGGTCAAAAGCTCCGAAAAAAACACCAGTTTGGTGATCAGTGGTCAACTGGAATATTGATTCCACCTTCAGACAAGAGAAATAAGCTTGTTCTCCCACCAGCAGCAGACTGACTGACCCTCGAGGTTCTTGACCACTCCGAGCTGGAGCTCTCATGTGCTTTGGTTGCTGGAAGGGTTTAATTCACATCAGTAATTGCCCAGTGGAACAGGGACACTGCAGATTTGCTCCTGCCCATCTCAGTGAGTGCCTCAGCCAGTGGTTGTAGAGTCAGTCTCCCTGTGCCCCAATAAATATTGCATTGTTTGTACACACTGGAGCGCTGCCAGCCTGAAGGATGCTGAGGGAGTTGTACTGAGTGGCCCAGAGCCTGGTGCTGAGAGCTCCAAACGTGGGAACGTGAACTTCCCCTCCCAGCCCTGAATGGCCTCGCTGGTGGCTGCCCACGATGCTCTTGGCTGTGCAGGCTGACACACTCCTCCTCTCCCTGCTTCCTTCCTGATGGCTCAGTTTTCCATGAGAAGCTTCAGGCGACTTTAGATCCGGCCCAGCCTGACAGAGATGATCCCAGAACTGACAGGACAGGAAATCTCTTTTCTGCCCTGCTCTGGGGCTGCCCCTGTTTGGAGACACCAGGGGGTCTGTAGGATGTTCCCTGCAGGGCTTGGGCTGTTTTTGATGTGAGGACAGATATGACTTTCCTCAGACATTCACCATGACAGTTCCTGCAATTTCCTAATGGATTTAATGCTCTATCCCATCCACAGGCACTTCCTGCAGCCATATGTGAGCTGTTCATATTAACCTTTGCATGAACAAAGCCCTTCGCTCCCAAACCCATCAAAACTGTCACATCCAAAGGCCAAGGAAAGACACTAGGACGTGGACTAGGAATAGTAATGACTTTCCAGACTCAGAAGTTGTTTCTGATCTGAAACATATTGATTAAATGTGTGTTTGGCCCAGTCTCAAGCTTTGCTGTGTCCACAGCAAACAACTTGCTGGCACAGCTCTGGCTTCTGCCCAAATTCTCCGCCCTCCATCCCAGCTCACACACTGACACTCATTATCACCTGCTCTCCCACTCCTGAACCCAAGCAGGGCACAGCCTCCTGTCTGGAGGGGCTGCAGGACGTGCTGGCAGCAGGGATGCTGAGCCCATGGCAGTGCCATTCCAGTGCTGCCCAGGGCATCTCACCCACGTCCTTGCCCTCCTCCCATCATACACAGCCCTGCAAATCCTTCTTTGAACCTCTACCCAAGGGGGCACAAGTTCCAGTTTTCATCTCATTGTGACTGCCCTGATTTCTTGGGTTGAGTCAGTTCAAGTTTAGGCAGGCTTTAGAAAAGACCCTCTTTCCATCCCCTCTTATTTCCCCAGCTGCTCACTGCCGACCTGACTGCCTTCCTTCATAATAAACACCCAAATCCATCTGTCAGCCTTCCTGCTTCCCTAGAAGCTCAGGACTTCTCTGACCCACTTCCTAAGTGCTCTGTGTAGCTCTCAGCTTTGGGAAGAGCATATCCCATCAAACCCTGGAGTACCTGAAGCCTGGCTCTTTAAAGCTGGGAGCTGTAATCACAAGGCACCTGACCTAGATTGAGCAAAGACTGGGAGCAGAGTGGAGATGAGGCTTCAAGGAAGTGAGGGAGTAATGTGGAGGAGTGGATGTGGGTAAAGGTAGCTTTTTCTGTGTGTGTTAGAGGAGTTATTTTTAGAGGCACGCTCGTAGTTGTGGGATGGAAATATGGGATGGGTTGGGAGGCCTTTGTTTCCACGGATTATCCATAATAGCTGTTGAACTAGGAGGTGTTGTGGGGTTGAAGAGCAGTCCCTCTGTGCGTGAGGGAAAGTAGAGGAGCAACTTCTGAAACCACACAGGATGATATCTGACCCCCTCTTCCTTCTTCCCTCTTTTCTGTGCTGGGTTGGAGCCCTGGAAGGGTTTAATTCACAGCTGGATCCCTCCAGCTCTTGCTGTGGAGCAACTGCTGGAAGAAGACGCTTGCTGTAGGATTTCTGTTGAAGGTTATAAAAGGTCTGATGGCCTTTGTTGCTGTTTCTCTGTGGGTAAACAGCACTAGGATGGGCAGCTGGAGGTCTGCCAGTGATGATTTGTGTCCTCTGAGCAGCACCAGGGAGGCCCTGTGGAGGCACAGGGGGCTTGGGGGTGCTGCTGCTGCTGGAAACATCTCCTTGCCTGGAGGAGAAGTTAATTTGGGTGTGGGTTTTTATTTTTTCTCCTCTCTGTTTCAGCCAAAGGCCTAACAGTGAGAGCTCAGCTTTGTTTTTGTGTCTGGCCAGCCAGTACCTGTGTGTGTGATCTGCAGGTGACTGTCACCTTGCCAGGCCACGAGGGAAGGGGAGGGGGAGTTGCTGAGGCAGGAAAAGTGGAAGGAATGGAGATAATACAGGGTGAAGGATGAAGTGTGAGGAAGAGCTGGGCTCTCTGAAGTGTGTCAGGATGTAGGGTGTTGATTTGCAGGAATAAAACCCTTAATTCAGCCCCTGATGGGAAAGCCTGTCCGGAGGGGATATTTTCCAACAGCTTGGAGACACCTTCAGTGGTTGCTGCTCTCTGGTGGACTTGCTGAGTGGGATGTGCCTCCAGCCATGCTCCTCTGGGGGGGATGTGCTGTGATGTTCCACCAGCTCAGGTGGAAGGGACCACACTGCCCCATCCAGTGCCACCTCCCTGCTCCAGCAGGGCCATCCCAGAGTTCATGGCACAGGATGGCATCCAGGTTTTGGAATATCCCCTCCCTGGTCTCTGTTCAGTCACTCCACAGTGAAGAAGTTCTTCCTCATGTCCAGGTGGAACTTCCTGGGCATCAGTTCTTCCTGTTCCTCCTGTGCCATTGCTGGGCCCCCCCAGCAGAGCCTGCTCCATCCTCTGCCCCCTCCCTGCAGCCCCTGATGGACAGGGATGGGGTCCCCTCTCAGTCTTCTCTTCTTGAGGCTGAACAGGCCCGAATTTAGGGGTGAAAAACCTGTTTTTCTGTAACAAGTGCCCAAAGTGTGGGTCTGGGTCAGAGCTGAGCAGGAGCTGCTGTGTTTGTCAAGTACATCCCTGTGTCAAAGCTGCTTCTTCCTCCTGGGACCACAAGCCTTGACATTCCTGCTCTTTTTGCAGAAGAGAACAAACAATCCCCTTTTGTCATTAGTAGAATTGCAAATTGGAAACAACTGTCCATCAAATAGCATCTCAGCTCTGGGGCTCTGATGGCCAGAAATGCCACTGGCAAAAAAAAAAAAACTCTCTTAATCTCTTAATTTGGAAGAATTTTGCTTCTCTTTGGGTAGGGCTGCTTTACTTCCATTGACTTCAGCTGAAAACAGGGATCTAAGGCACATTTGGAAATTGGTTACAGGTGCCAAAGCCAATTAACGTGGTCTTGCAATTGATCTCCTTTGCTTTTACCTCTTTGTTCCCATTTTTTGCCTATGCCTTTGACTTCCAAATGTACATGTTTTCATTTGGCACTGAATTTGTATTGAAATTCCTGTCAGGAATTTAATACTAAATAATCTATAATATAATATAATATAATATAATATAATATAATATAATATAATATAATATAATATAATATAATATAATATAATATAATATAATATAATATAATATAATATAATATAAAAGAGATCTGTGGCCATTTAGTACCTGTGTGTGTGATCTGCAGGTGACTGTCACCTTACCAGGCCGCATGGGAGCGGGAGATGGAACTGCTGAAATAAAGGGTTTAGATGAAATAAATATACAACATAAATAATAACTACAAATACATAGTATATAAACAATGTAGACATATTTATATATAAACATTATAGACATATTTATATAAAATATATAATTAATAAATAGAAAATAAATAATAAATATGAAGTAAATATATAAAAATAGATTAAATAAACGGTTTGGTAAAACTGTGGAGACTAAGTTTAATTTCTCTGTAGGAGGTAAGACACGAAGCTGAGATCCCAAAATCTGCCCCATGGACCTGAGGCACAAATCCTATTGCTCCTGCTGGGAAGGAAGGGTGTTTTTTCCATGAATCAGACACACAGTGAAAGGAAAACAAATGAGATTGTGGCTGTGGAAATTTAGAAAATGGAGGAGAAAGAGTGAAGGAGGAACTGATGGAATAAATGATAAATAAATAATTTCCTGTCCGTGTTCACAAGCTTTCTGTGCTGACTGTTAATCCCCAAGATACCCTCTTGTTTCAGGTTCCTGGATGAATTGTGAAGCGCTTCCTTTTCCGTGTCAATAACTGCTGGAATAGATGATCTCAAGTTTAAATATGCCCTTGGAGCAAAAGTGCCACTTCAAAATTCCCTCTGGAATAATGGCTTGGAAAGAACGGGGTGAAACAAAATCAGAATGAAGGCAAACAGAATTCCCAATTTAAAAATAAACATATAAATAAATTACTTCCAGGGAAATAATAAGGAAATTCCTCTTTGAGTAAAATTTCAGAGTGGACAGGGGGGTGAATTTGGTGCCTGTAGCTGTTCGTGTGACTTCTCAGAGCAGCAACTCCCTTGATTCCCCTGGTTTTTGCTCTCTTGCAGGACGACACTGAGCCCTACTTTATTGGAATATTTTGTTTCGAGGCTGGGATAAAAATCATCGCTCTGGGGTTTGTTTTTCACAAAGGCTCTTACCTCCGGAACGGCTGGAACGTGATGGATTTTGTCGTGGTCCTCACGGGGTAAGTGACATCCCACCCTGGCTTCAGGGGGGACTCTGGCTCTGATTTGGGGTGTTTTTTTTTCCCTCTGGGATGGGGTGGGATTGATTTGAGGGATTTATTACATCCCTACATTTCTGGCTGTAGGATTTGTTGTGCTGAACCAGTCGCTTTTAGAGTGTTTGGAACCAACTAAAAAGTGGTTTTTCCTTAAGGATATTTGTTTGTAGATACTCTGGTGTGTGTCTTACCCACGCTCTTGTTGACGTTTCCCTGGCTTTGCAGGTTCTGATTGCCACTGGCACTTGAACCTGATTTAAACCAGTCTATTTTCTGGCATTACAGGATGACTTTAGAAGTCAACATGGAGTGTGCTAAACAAATTAAAAGCATCCCATTTTTAAGCTATTACAACCCTGAAATCAGCAAACTTTCTGCAGGAGTCGATTTATTCTGCTATAAAATAACTTTTCTGAACAGAACTCCAAGATGTTTGAAAAGAATTCAAAACATCTCATTAAGGCAAATGTCACCTGTGTATTTTGTGCAGCGGTTTGAAATTATATCCCTGGTTTCTTTCTTGGACATGCTTACAATATTTTACATTAGAAACTGTTGTAATATGTATTTATTTATATGAATTGAGGATGTAATGGAAACACAGATATTAAGTAACCCTTGTAGCCTACGAACTGGGCTTTAAAGATCCAAAGGAAATGTTCCTTGAGGTCCTGAGCTTGCAGCCTTCAGCTTGGAAGGATTTCAGTCAGTTTTCCCCCAGCCTGGTATTAATATGCTCCCCAAATCCCTCCTTTCCCACACCTTCTCTGCTCCTGTGTGTGAATGTCTCTATATTTTCTGGTTGGAGAGTAGGGAAATGCTTGCATACATATATAAATGTATTCATTAGCCACATTATCACTGTAATTCTCTTTGCATTCAGGGCACCATGTGATCCAGCAACTGAGAGGCCAAAGGGAATTCTTTATGTATTGAGAGGAAGAGAATAAATATGTGGGGTTTGATTCTCCTGCTGCTGGGCTGAGGATTTAATCAATAGGAACTTGAGTGGAGTCACGAGGAGAATCAGATTTACATACTTAGGAACACAGGGGGGACCAGGATGAGAAGAGAATTAGCACAGATGCTACAATTATTCACACCCATGGCATGTGCTGATTCCTAGTCAGTTCTACGCCATTTTGTGAGTTAAAAAAAAAAAAAAAAAAAAAAAAAAAAAAAAAAAAAAAAAAAAAAAAAAAAAAAAAAAAAAAAAAAAAAAAAAAAATCAAGGCCCTGATTCTGGAAGGCACTTTGGAACGTGTTTTAATTTATCCTTCAACAAAGCCTTCAAGTACACCTTCGAATTCAGCTGACTCCAGTGGTTCTGTACCTCAAGTTAAGGCTCTACAGAAAAGCTTTTCTGAACTCCAGCCATATTGTTTAGACAAGTTTCTTTTTTTTTTTATTTTTTTATTTTCCCCTCATAAACGCAGGCCAAGAATCAAGAGACATTTGGGTGTTTTGTGTTTTTTTTTTTTTTTTTTTTTTTATGAGTAAGTTTTGCAAGAGCAGCCGAAGCGTCGCTCGTGGGATCCCCTCGGATCACGCGCCGGGGAGCGCCCGTGCCTCAGTGCTGCTGGGTTTTTAAAGGGAGCTGTTTGCAACTCTCTTTGATCTGGGAGCCTAATTGTGGACTATCAGCTCGATTAGGCAGCTGGAAGGAGCGGCCCTGTTCCATCAGCAAACAGGCATGTTCCTCTCCTCACGGTCCCGGCCGCGTCAGAGCCGCTGGTTTCCCGTGGTGACGCCAACTGGGCTCGTACAGGGGCTTCCCACCGGGCAGGCAGTGCAGGGGTGGCAAAGGCTCAACTCAGCGGCTCTGAGTCCAAGACTCGTCTCCACAGGCCTCTAATCCTCTAATTCAAGGGCTGGATTTAAGATTTTTTTGGTGTTTGGGAGGAGGTTCCTGAAAATACCAGCGTTCCTCATGTGCTGGGTTAGGCTCCTTCCTGAGCACGGGGCTGCATTTCCAGCCCAGTAAATGAGCTGGAGGGGCCTGCAGCAGAAAAACAGCACTGCAAGATCTGCAGCCTCACACAGGGGACTGAATTAGTGTTTTCTCTGTAGCCTGTAGTGTTTTGCTCTGCGTTTCCTAGATCCTTGTGATGTTCTTAGCTCGTTCCTGTGTTGCCATGGGGCTATGCTGGAAAGCAGGAGCTCTTCCTCCTCGGGCTTCCTTCACTGCCCAGGAACCTTTTCTCCCCCTCTCTGCCTGCCTGGGCTTGGGGTTTTGATTCAGGGGCTTGGGAAAGCCAGAGCAAGGCTGTTTATTTGACACAAACATCCCTTTTTGCCTCATTTGAGACAATCTTCCTTGGTTCTGCATCGAGACTGAAGGCAGGTTGTTGAGGGAACAACATTTGCTGCTGCCAAACCCAGCTGGTTCTCCAGGCAGGGACTGAGAGGTGGTGACACGAGGGGGAACCTTAATTTTCACTTCTGTGGAAGGGAGATTCAGGTCTGTGTGTCCCAAAAAAATGATCAGGCTGTAATTTATTAGGGAATAATAAAAGAGGACAGTGCTAAGCCAGTGCTTAATGTGTTCTTATAAATATAGATAGGTAGGACATCAGTTTTTGAAATACCATTTTACTACTCTATCAAAAGCTTTCCTTTGCCATATGTGCAAGGTTTCTACTTGGAAATGTTACTTCATGTTTCCCAGGCAGTGATCAGTGTTCGGTTCCCAAGCTCAGTTCCACCCTGATCTTCAATATTACAGAGGGATTTGGATTCCTCTCTCTCTCTCTCACTTTTTAATTTTTTTAAATTTTATTTCTGTGTAAGCATGAAAGATCATGAAAACGTGTTTCATGATACCACACAGAGAGCTGTGTACCCACTAATCCCGTTGAGTGCCCGTTTTTATGAAGGTAAATGCTGAATGTCAGAAAATCTGATCTCATTTTCAGCTTTTAGCTAAAACCCCACAGAAGCAAAGAGCAGCTTTGCTCTCGTTATCTGTTTCCATAGGAAAAAGGGCAGAGTCTGGGTGTGTTTTGGAGGAGGCTGTGGGGGAAGGCTCTGCATTGATTGAACTCACCCTTATGTAAATACTACAGTGATCATGCAGAAATCCTTCCCACCTGTTTTTTTCCAACCCCCCCTCTTATTTTATTTTTTATTTTTTTGCCTGCACCCTGGAATTTTCAATAAATATATATTTTTTTTAGTCTCCCTGCCACGATGGAAGATTCTGTTTGTCAAAAACCAGGCAGCAGAAGTTGTTAATCAGAAAATACAGCAGGGCTGTGTTTTGTGCAGCCAGGATCAATATCCTATCGAGCTAAACCCAGGTCTAACAGACAGTGGCCCAAAATGGCTTGGTTGTCGTTCCAGAAAACCCTCCCTCGGTTTCTTTCCACAGTGGTGCCTATTTCTCATTTGCTTCCAAGGAATCCTGCTGACTTGCTGTTAATAAAGGCCTGGGAAAAGAATAGATTGCTGCTTCTTGAAAAGATTTTGGTCCCTTTGTCATTTTTTCTTTAGTGATTTCTTATGGGCTCCTTCAGCTCTAGATGAGCACCCAGGAAAGCTGCCCTGCTGGGATGTGCCTGTTGCTGTTGTGGAGAGAAATACGTGTATTTTATAGCTCCTGCTCACTCCATTTTCACATTTTTAAGGGATTGGGTTCACTCCAGTGATGACATCACCCATTAGCAGCTCTAAATCACCCCAAATTGTGGTTTCTCAGCTGGCCTGGCACTGTATGATCTTAATGCACTTTTTCCAAGGGACTTTTTAATTCTGTTGCTGCAACGTGTTTTGGGTTGGAAACCTCAGAAACCCACAGTGGTCTTGGGAACAAAGTTGTCCTATCCCCAAACTCCTCAGATGGCAGTGGATGGAGAGGTGAGCCTGGATAGGGGGCCTGGGGGGTTCAGGCCTGTTCCTCCTGGAGTTCATGGGAAGTTTTCTCCTGGGCTCTGGATCCAACAACCCGAAGAACTGCTGTGCTGGGTTTACCTACAAACATCCTCTCCAGCTGTCCCAGGCTGACTGCTGAGGACAGGGCATGGCTAAAATGATCCTGATCTTTCTGATTCCTAAGATTGAGAAGTCTAGGGATTTTTGAGGTGGGAAAAAAGAGAGACTCTTTTGAACGGGCTTTTAAGCTGTGTGGTCCAAGGGGTCTGTCCTCCTTGCTTATGTTGTGGAGCTTGTTTATAACTTTTGGTATCATTATGTGGTGGGTAATGGGTCCTATGGTTTAATTACATATCACAACAAAGGTGCTGCTTATCCCTTTATTTTTTTTTCTCCAACACCAGCTACCTGAGATTTCCTTTGGTGCCTTCTAGATTTTGTACAGTCGGGTTTGAACAACAAAAATTCAATTTTTTGCCTGCTTATGGTTTTAATAAACTCCAGCATTTCCCCAGCCAGAGATTTGTGCTGCCCAACCTCCCCTGACCTGAGTTTTCCGTGCTCCTTTGCTCTGGTCCTTTCCCAGTGCCATCACATCCCCTTGCAGTGCCCACAACCGCGTCCGGCGTTCGCCCGACACCAGGAGCTGCTAAAACCTGCAGCGCTTGAAAGGATCCTGCCCTGTCCCTTTCTGAGCAGAATTAATTTCTTTTGGCTTCCAACCAGCCTGGATTAAACACTCTCGAAGAGTCCTGGTGGCTTCTTGAGCCAGTTGGATCAGCCTCCTGGATCTCTGGGTGGGACTGGCAGAGACAGCGTGTGCCAGGCCCGGAGCTGCCAAATGATGTGCCCAGAGTCTCGGTGCTCTTACGGGTGTCTCAGGCTGTCTGGAACAAATTGCAAGAGCTGGAATTATTATCCTGATTGCCTGAGCAGTGTGCTCCCAGCTCCTGGGGATGCTGGTAATTTGGAAGGTAACTCGTTTAGTAACATTAATAGAGACCTGTTCAGCCTCGCTGTTCGCTTCGCTGGTTACCAGGATCATCCTGCTATGTGGGCAGTGGGAGCTGCTATTCCTGGTGCAGCGTATGAGGAGCAGCAGCCTGGGTTGCAGTGATGACTGTCAAAGTGGGAGGCAGAGGAACCACCCAGCCTGGTCTGTGCAGCAGGGTTGTGGACCTCTGATGTTCCCATTTGAGGTGGATGGACCTCCTAGACAGGGTGTGTGGGGGGGGGAGATGTGACTGTGGGGTTGTTGGAGAAGTAAATGGCTGATTAAGGGCTGGGATTTTTAAAGCTGCCCAATATACACAGATGCTTTGGCTCCAGCTTTTTTCTTTTTCTTCCATGTGCATGTTCCTGTGCATTAAGAAGCCCTTAAACTAAAATATCTGGTATGCAGTGACAGGACAAGAGGGAATGACCTCAAACTGAAAGAGAGTCGGTTTAGATGGGATATTGGGAAGGAATTCTTCCCTGGGAGGGTGGGGAGGCCCTGGCACAGGTTGCCCAGAGAAGCTGTGGATGCCCCATCCCTGGAAGTGCCCAAGACCAGGTTGGATGGGGCTTGGAGCAACCTGGGCTGGTGGAAGGTGTCCCTGCCCATGGCAGGGGTGGAATAAGAAGATCTTTAAAGCTCACCATTCTGTGATTCCCTATTTCACTTGCAAAAACCCCATAGAACATGCTAATTTAAAAGATGAAATTCCAATGAAATAACCCCCTCTGGATGCCCTGCAGCATCACTTTAGGTTGTATTCACTGCTTTGTTTATAAGCTCTAGATCTACCGACCTGGGGGAATGAAGGGGTTGGGAAGTGCAGGTTTCTTTCTGCTTTCCTGCTGTGCATCTTTGGGCACCTCTGTGCTAGAAAGCAAAGCTGAGCAGCAACAGGAGTTGGGAAAAGGGGTACTGAAAGAAGGGATTAGCTTCATTTTGATTACTTATCCCCAGGAAAAGGAGTAAATCTCTGCATGGTTGTGCAGTATGGGTGGTGATGGACTGGGGTGATTGCTGCTGGTGTCGTGAATGAGTCACGCTAAGAGCAAAGCATTTATGGATTTTAATGGAGCTGATCCTTGTTTTCAATTTCTTTTATGCTCCAGTGATGGATGGAGACTTTCTGGCTCAGAAAAGCTAAGGGTCCCTTCTGAAATTAAATCGGATAAAACTGGGCAAGACAAAGGGAATTCACCTGTTTTCCTGGATGTCAACTGATGATCTGGCTGGTGTG